TTAGGGTCCCTTGTTGTGTTTGGATAGGAAAAGGGACCCCCTAATCAAGGATAGGCCAAGCTCTCACATCTACTCACGTAGGAGCCATACTGATGGAACACATTCCAGAAGATAATTAAGACTATAGTACAGATCAGTGGGATCTCATGAGATTTTCTTGCTCATCACTGTCTAAGACACAACATATTCACTGCTACGAGCAGGAGTGGGGGTCAGGTTGAAGTTCTTTTTCCAGAGTAGGCATGTGGGGAAATTAGCAATAGTGAAAGAGAGCAGGCTACCAATGTCAGGAAAAGCAAAAATATAAGCACTTCATAAAGCTGATTTAGGGAGAACTACAATATGCTGGTTCTGACATCTCTGGTTTCTTAGGGACATGCTTCCACTACAGATTTTAAATATATAGACTAGGGATAGACATTTTAACCAGATTGCCCAATCAATTGTGTTTAACAGATTATTTTCTCTTCCAATAGTTTTTTGATAGCATTGTTTATGAACTGGGTTAACAAAGCCTAAAACTACAATGGAATTAGAGATAAACTTCTCTTTAAGGACTTACAGATGTGAACTATAACAACGCTCATGATAAACATACATATCAAATCTTTAATGCTTCTAATCTCTAAAAGTAAAATATTAGGGAAAACATAGTTCTAAGAGTTAGTTTCTCCTATCTTTGTCATAATTTCTTATTCTCTTATGAAATAATTTTTCTTAATAAGCACAAAGCAAAAATAAGAATTTTGTGGTAGGTAAATAACTTTGCCTAATATCATTGATTACTAACAGCATAATTATACTATAACGTTCCTATAAATGTCATGAAGCTTCAAAAATCCTTATCTTAGATTTGATTATGTATACAATTTATTTAAATTACATTAATTATACAGGTTTTTTAAAATGAAGCAGAGAGCTTGTGTTTTCAATTTTCACAAGTAGAAACAATAATCAAAATATTTACGTGTGTATTACATATATTGTTGACATTCATAAAATAATTCATTTACTCAGTATACAATATTAGCACTTTTACATGGGAGAAAAAAGGCAAACCCAATTTTTCAGGTTTAGATTTCTTTAAGAGTATTTATATGAACTTTAGAAAGTTCTTCTTTTAAATATCTAGCCCAAGTTAGGCAACGTTTTTCAGGAAATAAAATATTTAAACTATTTTTAACTGTAATTAATGACACTCATCAAATGGTTTTAAAACCATTTGGTTGTATTTACAAACCAAGCTCCAGAGTCTGACTACCTTACTTCAATCCAAGGGTACTTGGGTAAGTGACATTAACATTTCTGCATCTCAGTTTATTCTGCTGTAGAATGGGAATAACATTTTTAGCGATTTAAAGAGTGATATATCAGGTCTTTAAAACAATGCCTAATACATAGTGCTATGTAAGAATTTCTCACTATTTATTTTCATGCTTGGAAGTTCAACTTAGCATACAAATTATTGATGCCAAATTCACCTATATAAAATGGATAGGGATAGTTCTTCATCTTTAAAATTCCATGAAAGCAGTATTTGGTAACATTGTGGGTTTAATTTTAAATCTCCAAATACAGAATTTTAGGAGTATTGCCCCTTGAAACATGGCTTTGAACAGGGCAGTGATAAAAAATATCTACCCTTCAAGTTGTTATTAAAGCCTATATACAAATAACCTAACTCTGACCATATGGAAACATATGGAGAAACTGAGACAGCCAGAAACAGTAGTTTTTAGATTCAGCCAACATTGGTACTAGGAGATGAGGAGAATCCCAGGCAGAGAAAGAAGAAGCAATGTAAATTAAACCCAGGTCTGATCTCTCAGATAATCCCCCTTCTGTCTTTTCTCTTCCTCCCAGGGCTGGCCAGGGCAAATTGAACCAACTCTCCAACAAGGAAACCTATGTGGAACCTACTAGGAGGTTTTTATAGAAATGCAATGCCCATGCTTTCTCTTTACCAAACTAAACCAGAACAATCTCACCCCAAACTCGATATGCTTTCCCAATGTATGACAGGCTGTTTGTTGCCCAGGAGTTTAAATATAATATAATAGGGGGTTTCTGGAAGACATTCATTGAACAGCTGCTTTTTTGTGTTAGAAATCCTATCTCTTTCCTGATTGTATATATAAAAATCCTAAAGACTACCAAAAAACTATTAGAAGTAATAAACAAATAGAGCAAATTTGCAGGATATAAAATCAATGTACAAAAATCTGTTGTGTTCTTATATACTAACAACAAAATATCAGAAAAAGAAATGAAGAAACCAATTCTATTTGCAATTGCCACAAAAAGAATAAAATACCTAGAAATAAATTTAATAAGGGAAGTAAAGGACCTATACACTGAAAACTACAAGACATTGTTGAAAGAAATTGAAGGAAACACAAAGAACTGGAAAGACGTTACGTGTTCAGGAATTGGAAAATCAACATAGTTAAAACGGCCATATTACCTAAGGCAATATACAGATTTAATGCAATCCCTATGAAAATCCTAGTGGCATTTTTCAAAGAAATACAACAAAAAATCCTTAATTTTGTATGGAATGATAAAAGACTCCCGAGCAAAAAAAAGAACAAAACAGGAGATATTATCTCCCCGACTTCAAATTATACTATAAAGCTACAATAATCAAAACAGGATGGTGTTGGCAGAAAAACACACACACAGACCAATGGAACAGAATTGAGAGCCAAGAAATAAACCCACGGGTACATAGACAAAGGAGCCAAATTTTCGACACAGAAGCCAAAAACATTCAATGGAGAAAGGAAAGCTTCTTCAATAAATGGTGTTGGCAAAATTGGAAAGCTACATGCAAAAGAATGAAACTAGAATACTATATGACACCATAAGTAAAAATTAACTCAAAATGGATTAAGGACTTGAATATAAGACCTGAACCAATAAAATACATAAAATAAAACAAGTAGTAAACTTAAGGACCTTGGTCTCAGAGAGGCTTTTGGGAACATGACCCCACAGACATAGGAAGTAAAAGCAAAATAAGTGAATGGGACTACATCAAACTGAAAAGTTTCTGCACAGCAGAACAAAAAGGCAACCAACCAAATGGGAGAAGATGTTTACAAACGATAACTCTGATAAGAGGCTAATATCCAAAATGTGGAAAGAACTCATACAACTCAATTAAAAAAAAATCCAATTAAAAACTGGGCAGAGGACCCAAAGAGACACTTTTCCCAAGAAGACGTACAAATGGCCAATAGATATATGAAAAGATGTTCAACTTCCCTAGTTGTAAGGGAAATGCAAATCAAAATCACAATGAGATACCACCTCACACTTGTTAGAATAACTATTATCAATAAGACAAGAAATAACAAGGGTTGGAGTGAATGTGAAGAAAAAGGAACACTCATACACTGCTGATGGGAACGTAAACTCATACAGCCACTATGAAAAACAGTATGGAGGTTTCTCAAAAAATAAATACAGCCACCATATGACCCAGCAATCCCTCTTCTGGATATCTACCAGAAAATTTAGAAACTTTTTTCTTTTGTAAAGATATATGTACCTCTGTGTTCACTGCAGCATTATTCATGACAGCCTGAACATGGAAACAACCTAAGTGTCCTTCAATGGATGTCTGGATAAAGAAGATATGGTACATATATACAATGGAATACTACTCAGCCATAAGAAAGAATGAAATACTGCCATTTGCCACCACATGGATAGATCTTGACACAATCAGCTAAGCAAAATAAGTCGGATGGAAAAGGACAAAAACCATATGATTTCGCTCATATATGGGATATAAAACAGAAACAAATTAACAAAACAAACAAACTCATAGACGGAAACAATAATATGAAGGTTACCAGAAGGGAAGTGAGGTTAGAAGAGGATGCAGAAGGTTAAGGAGGTCAAATATATGGTGACAGAGGGTGGTGAGCATACAATGCAATATATAGATGACGTGAGCATACAATGCCATATATTGCTGATGTATTATAGAACTGTACACTTGAAAGTCATATATGTTATTAACAATATCACCCCAATAAATTTAATTTTAAAAAAATCCTACCCCCTTGAAGACCTTATAGCAGAGGGTCTTTTAGGATGTATCGACATTGGTTTTAAAATCCTTTTGTGGCAACATATCATGGTGGATGGCTTAGGGGTTGGTAGAAATAGGAAGAAAAGAGAAAGGAAATATGTGTAGATAATTCCTTGTTGGAGTCCTGGGTTAAGGATGCTCTGAATAGTCCTGGGGAGGTGGCATATATGAGAGTGGAGGCAGAGAGGAAGGATGGTAAGAAAGGATTAATCTTGGATTACTGTGATATTTACTTTGCAAGATTATATAAATAATAGTTCCATATTTTTAGCATTTTGTTCTATATCTCCCAATTGTACAGAATTAGAAAGTCTTTAATTTCTTTCTTTTTCCTTTATCTCTTTTTCTCTCTCTCTCCTTCCTTTCTCTTAGCGCATTCTCTATGGGACCTTGCTAACAATTTGCTGCTTTTCTTGGGTGATTGAACTTGATTATTTCAAATCTGATCTTATTTCTAGGAATAGACCTGACCCGCCTTTAAAGTATATTCAATTTAGCCTGATATTTCTGTTGCTATTAAAGTCTTGTTGACAAACTTCTCTGCAATCTAAAGTCACTGATCAGTGAGAGGAAAATGCTGTGAAAAACACTTGCTTATTAATTGCTAATTCTGGATTTTACTTATATGCAAAATCCAGAAACCTCATTTAAAACAATACTTTAAAACTGTACCCTGGAGTAGAGCTGGTTTGACTGCTTTTCTCTCCCATTCTCCTGGCCCACTCTGCAGAAGCAGTGCCAATGAATTGTGTTGCCCAAGAGGCAGTCAGTAAAGAATAAATAAAGAGAAACAGACGCCTCAACAAACCAGCGAATACACATACTCAAACCCTGAATAACTAAGTGGTGACTGTGGTTTGGAAGTTACAAAAATACTAAGATGTGATTTTTCTTTTAGGTGGGAAATGAGGAAGGATGAAAGACTAGAAGAGGAAGAAAAAGCAATGTTGGAACATTTAAAACGAATTTGCAACATCCAGAACTCTTCTGCCTCAGATAACACAGAGGAAGATTAATCTTCAGAAAACAGCTACAGTTTTATTTTAGGAAATAATCACATATAATGGAGTAGGATTTTTACTACAGTCAAGATGAACCTCAGATGTGCTGTGAAGCATGAAACCAATGACTAATCTCTGAACCGAAAAGGAATAAAGAACATAAAGAATAAAGTGCTACATTTTTTTTATTTTAAAAATAATTTCAAATGTTTTTCTTTCCTCAGTCTTTCTCTTTATGTGATATAACTGCTGCCATCTCGTGTTCCCTTTGAATTATTTTTCCTCTTTCAGTCCTGAAGTATCTATGACAACAGGCAAAATGTTTGGAAATCTTTTCCCTAAGGATTTTAAATACATCTGGATGTTAAGTTGAATGGAGTCACATATTGCCCTGAGGATCATCTGAAAATTTCAGTCTAATTTTGTAGCTGTAGCCCAAGTCCAGGCCTTAATTGCCTCCCATAGCCTCTTCCTCATCCAATTTATCTTAACCATAGCTACAGAAAGCACTCTCCTGAAGTATAACTTTACTCATATCCCTGCATATAATGGTATTTTAAACATCAGTCTGAAACTTCTAATCATATACTTTCAGATTCTATATCCCCAATGGCTCCATATTCAGGCAACTGCCTGCCATCCTCTTAGCTCAAGGCACATGCTTGCCATTTTCCCCAACCAGAGACCATCTTTCTCGCAAAATTATGTTCAAAACTCACTCCAGTGATCTCTGCTCTACAGCTCATTATCCATAGTTTCTGTTACTTCTCTTATTTCAATTACATTGATATACACACTAAGGAAATGAGACGTGTTCTAGCACCCTCTCTGCCAAGTGAAGTTATATTTACTATATCCTTCTTAACAGCACCGATATCAGATTATAGACTTTAAAGGCCTTAAAATATAAAGTGAAGTCTCCTTCTATAATAATAGTCTCCCCAAATAACTACTACAAAGTTAGCCATCTACTCAGCAGTTAATTAACACAGCTGTTTGAATGGCTGTCATTAAAAGATGATGACAAAGACATTTAGACTGTTGAGCAATCTATAGGACATCTGGACAAAGCCTTATACCATGAACTATTTTAGAGCATATGACACTGAATATCATGGTTTCTGATGTTCTCAGATTGTCATGTTTCCATATTCCATTTTTATAAAATATGTGTAGGCTATATGATTTCCAAAGAAAGTATTTAAGTATTTTTTAAAGAGTGAAAGCTTAAAATGCTTGCATTATTTCTTTACATAAAAACACATAAATGGCTATGTAGCCAGCTGCCTGCCCGATAATACATTTTATTTTTAAAGAATGTACTTTAGTTGGCTAGTATAATAATGAACCAAACTTTTTAAGACATGGTTGAAATAATTCTAAAAATTCAATGCAGACCATTTAAAAATTATAAGAAACTTTTATGAGAATTGGACTTTCCATCTAATCTTACCCATAAACAGTTACTGTAACAATCAACATAAAGCAACAGTTGACTTTATTCTTTCAGCTTAGTAATAGTCTATATATTAAATCTGCATAACTATTTTTTATTAGAATAGAAACTAAAAGTCAAAATAAATAGATCCTATAAATTAAATGAAATCATTTATAAAGTTATAGTATTTTACATTTGAGTTCTTTTATCTTCTAATATACCTAAACATCATCTTTTAACACTATTTTTTTTACTGAATCTATATATTTCTATAGTAATCTTGAGAAGTGATTTAGTCCCTCTAGAAAAAGTTTCTCTATGACTCCATTCTGAAAGAAGTATAGTAAAGGGTGAATGGGATGAGTTGGAAGGAGAGGAAAGTAGAGAAGAGATAAGAGTTGGCATTTGAATTCTTTTCTATACTTGCTCAGTGAAATTACTGTAGCAATAAGTGCAATAAAATTTATAATTAGGAATGTTAAATGACTAGTCATTGATTATCAGATCATTTTGATGTTATACTTGCTATGTTTCTTAAAGTATAAAAAGTGATAATTCAAAACAGTTTCCTTTCTTATAATTATTTTGCATTTGTATACATTAACAACAAGAATGAACACTTTACAACTCCATATGCATACTGCAAAAATATTATCTTTCTATAAAATATTATATTCCTCGGTGTTGTGTTTAACTGTATTTTTATGTAATTATAAAGAAGTATCTATTTTGTTATTGGTTTAGCAGTTACTGTGTGGAAACAGTGTGCATTAATTCTTACTAAGATAGATGGTAACGTGTTTTTCATATATTTTACATTTTTATCACCTTTACCAAACACTGTTACAGAACTACCAACCAAGAAATGGGAAAAATAAATCACCTGTTTATTCTACCAGTATGTGCTTACTCAAAATGTCCTATTATCCCAGTTCACAAAATGTGAGTCAAAGAGAGCTTCAGGTAGTTTGTAATTAGTATTTCTTACTACAAAAAAAATCTTTTTTTAAAATGATTTTTGTTATACTTGAAATATTTCATCGACAAAATATTAAAAAGCTATAATCAGCCTTAAAAAGGAAGAAAGTCCTGTCACATGTTACAACACAGATGAACTTTGGGGACATTATGATAGTGAAATAAAACAATCACAAAAAAGACAAATAATGTATAACTCTACTTATATGAGGTATCTAACGTAGTCAAATTCATAGAAACGGAAAGTAGAATGGTGGTTACTTGGGGTTACAGGGAGGGGAAAAGAGTAATTTAATAAGTTTAGAGTTTCGTTTTTACAAGATGAAAAAGTTCTGAAGATCTGTTTCACAACAATGTGACTATACCGAACATCACTGAACTGTACACTAGAAAATGGTTAAGATGGCAGATTTCATGGTACGAGTTTTTTGTTTGTTTGTTTGTTTTTCACCACAATTAGAAAAACTGCTGTAGTTGGAATATCCAAATAAATATTCCTAACATGATGCCTGAAAGCTCTTAAATTTTAATAGGGAACTATGAGACCAGTATATTCAACACAAGCTATTATTCCACACAATGATAAAAACTATCTGCTTGCCTTTGAGAAATGTTTTCAACAGCACCATCAGCAAAGCAGTAAACTTTTGTTTCTCTAGAATTTAAAGAATCCAGAAACTTGTAAAACCCCTTTTCCCTCAAAATATTGTAAAAATTATTTGCATGAGTAAAGATGCATAATAGTTATTTATTACTGCATAACAACATTATCAGAACCTGGCAGCTTACAACAACATACATTTATTATCTTATGGTCTCTGTGTGTCAAGTGTCTGGGCATGGTTTACCTGGATTTTCTGCTTGGGGTCTTACAAGATTGCAATGAAGGTGTCAGTCAAGCTGTGGTCTCATCTAAGGCCCAAGTGGGGAAGGATCTCCTTCTAAGCACACATCGTTGTTGATAACATTCATAACTTTGCAGGCTATCAAACATAGGGCCAGGTTTCCTGCCATGTGAGTCTTCCCAAAATAATAGCCTCTTGCTTCTTCAAAGTCAGTAAGGGAGGTCTCCCTTGCAAGATCAATATTACAATCATATGTAACATAATCACATGCATTTACTCATGCACATTTCATCACCTTTATTAAATTCTAGTGGCTAAAAGCAAGTCACTCATCCCACCCAAGCTTGAGGAAAGGAATCACACAACAGCGTGAATGCCAAGATGTAAAGATGTTGGGAGCCACTCTAGAGTCTACCCACCACAAGTTGGAATCTAGGCACTGAAATATCCAATATGGGGGGAACCAGTAGGGAAGTAGAAATAGAGCTGGACTAGGAATGAGACGAAAACGTTGCTATTTATCAATCGGCTATAATAAGCTAGATTCTGAGCCAGAATCTCTGTAAGTAGACAATTTAATCTTCTCTAAGCCATTATTGAGATCAGTATTGAGAGCCCCATTTGAGATAATAAGAAAATGAGTTGTAGAGATGTGAAAAAACTGACTCAAATTTTAAGTAAAGATGCAAGTGAGGTTCCGATTCAAGATGGCAATATAGGAAGATCCTGACTCTAACCTCCTCCCACAAACACACCAAATCTATAGCTACATGTGGAACAATTTCCTCTGAAGAAAAACCTGAAAACTACCTGAGTGATGACTACATGTTAGGCAAATGAGAAAAAACTACAATGAAGTGTGCAGGAGAAACTGAGACACAATCTTGCCATAAACGCTAACCCCTGAACAAGGACCCATAATGAGGGAACTCAAAACCCAGAGATTCTCCCCAAAGAGTGAAAGGTTTATCCCACATCGGGCATCCCAACTTTTAAGATCTTCGCCTGAGAGACGATCCCCCCAAACCTGTCACTCTACAGATCAATGGTGCTCATGTCCAACCAACCCACAAGGCTACAGTGATCTAAAAAAATGGCTCTTAAAAGACTCAGGCGCTTAGGATTCAGTCGCCCCAGGGCCAGGTTCAGAAGCAGTTGACCTTGCTCACACTTTATGTGAAAGAGGCTCATTTGCTACTCTTAAAACACTGGTCTGAGGGGCAGGCATCTGCCCCTGGAATACTAGAGGTGTGCTGGAATACTCCTGGGGACAAAGCCTGGTGGGTGCCATCTGTATTCCTGTGCTGGAATACTCCTGGGGACAAAGCCTGGTGGGTGCCATCTGTTTTTTTCTTTGAACAATTACTATGAACAATTATATGCCAACAAATAGGACAACCTACAAGAAATGGATAAATTCCTAGAAACATATAAACTGCCAAGACTGATTCATGAAGAAATAGAAAATCTGAACAGATCAATTACTAGTAAGGAGATTGAATTAATAATCAAAAACTTACCAACAAACAAACATCTAGGACCAGATGGTTTCACTGGTGAATTCTATCAAACATTCAAAGAAGAATTAATGCCAATCCTTCTCCATCTCTTCCAAAAATAGAAGAGGAGAGAATACTTCCAAACTCATTTTATGGGGCCAGCATTACTCTGATACCAAAACCAGACAAGGATGTCGCAAGAAATGAAAACTACAAGCCAATATCCCTGATGAACCAGATGCAAAAATCCTCAACAAAATCTTAGCACCTGAATTTAACAGCACGTTAAAAGGATCATACACCATTATCAAGTGGGATTTATTCCAAGGATGCAAGCATGGTTCAATAATTGCAAACCAAACAATAAGGCGATAGACCACCTTAACAACATGAAGGATAAAAATCATATTATCACAGTAGATGCAAAAAAGCATTCAGCAAAATTCATCATCTACTTGTGATAAAAATTCTCAATAAAGTGGTACAGAGGAAACATATGTCAACATAATAAGAACCATATATGACAAGCCCACAGCTAACGCCAGACTCAATGGTGAAATCTTTTCCTCTAGATCAGGAACGAGACAAGGATGCACATGTCTGCCACTTTTATTCAGCAGGGTATTGGAAGTCCTAGCTAGAGTAATTGCAAGGAAAAAAAAAAAAGCATCCAAATTGGAAAAGAAGAAATAAAGCTGTCACTATTTGCAGATAACATGATATTTTATATAGAAAACTCTAAAGATGGCACCTAAAAACCTGTCAGAACTAATCACCTTAATAAAGTTGCAGGATACAAAATCAATATACAAAAGTCTGTTGCGTTTCTATACACTAATAATGAACTATCGGAAAGAGATATTAAGAAAACAATCCTATTTACAATTGCATCAAAAAAAATAAAATATCTAGAAATAAATTTAACCAAGAAGGTGAAAGACCCATACACTGAAAACTATAAGATATTAATGAAAGAAACTGAAGAAGACACAAAGAAATGGAAAGAGTCTCCACTCATGAATTAGAATAATATTGTTAAAATGTCCTTACTACCCAAAGCAATCTACAGGTTCAGTGAAAAACCTATCAAATGTCCTATGGGATCTTTTCACAGAAATAAGACAGATAATCCTAAAATTTGTATGGAACCACAAAAGATTTTGCATAACCAAAGCAATCTTAAGAAAGAAGTACAAAGCTGGCAGTCTCGCATTCCCTGATTTCACACTATATTATAAAGCTATAGTAATCAAAACATTATGATATTGGCATAAAAAACAGGCACATAGATCAATGAAATATTATAGGGGCGGAAATAAACTCACACATCTATGGGAGGAGGGGAGGTTGGCAAAATGAGTGATGGCAGTCAAAATGGACAAACTAAAATAAGTTTGGGGATATAATGTACAACATAGTGACTATAGTTAATAATACTATATTGCATATTTGAAAGTTGCTAAGAGAGCAAATCTTAAAAGTTCTCAAGAAAAAATTTGTAACAATATATAATAAAATATGTTAACCAGAGTTATTGTGGTGATCATTTCAAAATATATACAAATACAAAATCATTAAGTTGTATACTTGAAACTAATGTGATATTATATGTCAATTATATATCAATTAAAAAAAGATGCACGGTAAAGTCTAGGCTTTAACACATCACCTGTAATCCAACGATGTAGTACTAATAGATGAAACATAACAAATAAAAAGCAGAAAACCAAAGTGGGGCTCAAAAGTAAAATAAACAAACCAGAAATGAAAAGAGACTCAAGATGTCCAAAACTGCACACCTGGCATGACAGCATGAGAAGCTCTACTGACCTGCTCCCCTACTGAAAAGTTAAAAACGAATGAATTAAACGCTTTGAGCACAAAAGGCAAACAGCAATTCAAGGGACATCTATTCCAGAAAAACCTATGAAAATTTGGTAAGAAAGGCTAGAATATGTGGTATTTGAACCAAATCGCCTCCCATCCTCCCTCCCTGCAACCGGGGAGGCAGACTCTACTCCTGAGGGCTGCAGCCAGAACACAGCATTCGCTCTCGCCCAAGCTCCCAGTCTAAGAACTTTCTTACTCAGGGGAGGAAAATTTCAGCATTTTTCATCCAGCTTTGCTGAGGCTAACGCCCTGGCAAGAGGCGTGGGCTCCCCTTTCTCCCAGACCCCAATTCATGTAATGGAGACTGTTTTAGGTGCGGTGCACTGAAAATACCGGAGCCTGGATCACCTTCACCCTGCTCATGAAGCAGTGGTTCCATGAAAGGAAAGTGAACTTTTTGTGAAGTCCAACTTACTATCTGCAGAGAATACTGACAACAGCTTTCAAACTTCCACAGAGTAACACTTTCT